ACATACATACATATATCTATATATTTTTATATATATATATACATACATACATACATGCATGCATGCATGCATGCATGCATGCATGCATGCATACATGCGCGCACCTGACGCTTGATGCAATGCCTTCGCAGACATCACTCAACCCTTCGATACGGTTGCTGATATGAATCCTGCATCGCCCTTAAGGAATACACCATAGCTCCCATAGCTTAGGATTATAAGGCAATGCAGGACTACTATCATCAACAGTATGGCAGCTCCCCTGAAGATCCCGCCATCCTCCTGCTGATGATATTTGGAAAGCCAAGCCCCTAGCCTTAAAGCCCTAAAATGCCCTACACCCTAAGCCTCAATGAAGCGTTAAGCCGTTAAGCCCCAAAACCCCGAACTCTAAACCTTTCCGCCATAATATACGGGTCTTAATAATGAGAATAGGGATTTGGGGTAACTATACTATAATTGTAGCAAGGAGCCCCCCAAAATAGTAATTATTTAGGCCCCTGGTTTTAAGCGCCCTAAACCCTAAACCCTATAAACCCTAAGCCCTAAACCCTAAACCCTAAACCCTAAACCCTAAACCCTAAACCCTAAACCCTAAACCCTAGCCTTAAACCGGACAGGCGCCTCGCAGCACGAGCCTTCCGCGTCCGGCGCTCCCCACTTTGCTTGCCGCCGGAGGAGCTTAGGGTTTAGGGTTTAGGGTTTAGGGTTTAGGGTTTAGGGTTTGAGGTTTGAGGTTTGGGGTTCAGGGTTTAGGGTTTTGGGTCTAGGGGTTTAGGGTTTAGGGTTTAGGGTTTAAGGTTCAGGATTTACGGTTTAAGGTTTGGGGTAATGTACCTAGACCCCCCAACCCCTCTATTGTCCCCCAAATACCCACTATTAAGGACCATACAGTAAGGTCTCTATTAATGGGCCATTGGGGGGTCCTGGTAGGGGCCTTAATAATTACCTATATTATCTTGGGGGTTCCTTATTTTTATAGCATATCTCAAAACGCTATTCTAGTTGTTAAGGCCCCTACGCTAGGGTGGCCTGGATTTGGGGTTACAGGAGTTTGTCTTTCGATACGTGTTGTTTAGAATGGTTTAATATGGGGTCTGAACAATATTAACAACAAATCACCTTGCTTGAGCCTTCCCTCATATACTTATGCTGTAGTATAAAAAGGCCACTCGAATTATGCAGACCATAAACCCATAAAATCAGGTAAACCCCTGTCGAGGCCTTGTAGAACATGTAAAGAACCCAATCAAGGACCAGTCTGGAGCCCTCTTTGGCCAACGTTTCTACATTGGGAACTCTTGTGGCTTGAGCAAGCATCCTCCATATATAGATGCCAGAATACCTTGCAAACCGCCCTCAATCCTAGTTGCTTTTTGAACCCTGACCGTAAACTGGGTTTGATACAATCGGGACCCTCCCTTTTGTTTACAACCTGTGTAAGCCTTGTCAAGCTCTCTGACAAGTCGTTGAAGTGTCTATCTAAAAACCGCAAGCCTCAAAGCCCTAAACCATAAACCCTAACCCTAAATGCCTTAAGTTCCAAAATCCCTAAAGCAGGAAACCCTAAACCCGAAACCCCTAAACCCTAAACCCTAAACCCTAAACCCTAAACCCGAAACCCCTAAAACCGAAACCCGAAACCATTATAGCACCTAAACCCGAAATCCCCCCCTTGAGGAGCTGCAGCGCTGCTCCTGCGACAGGCGCCTCTCCCCGTTCCCCCGCCCCCATGCTCTGGTTTTGGGTTTAGGGTTTAGGGCCCCCATGCTCTGGTTTTAGGTTTAGGGGCTTGGGGGTTTCGGGTTTCGGGTTTAAATTAAAGTCTTAGGGGTTTAGGTGCTCAGGCGTTTAGGGCGGAGTGCTTAGAGTAAGGTCACAAGGGCTTTCATGCCTATTATCTGAAACTTATGACATGTTTCCGGGTTTCAAGAACTTCAGAAAGGCTTTAGGCTTTAGGGTTTTGAGTCGCTGCAAACCAGATGCAAAAAAAAGGGGTTTAAGGCTTAGGCAAGCTTATCAATCCTAAACATGAGCCCTAAATCCTGGGTTCCGGGACTTGAGGGACGGGGGCTGTGGTGCTTTGGGGTGGGTTCTCGGGTTTAGGGTTTACGGGCAGTGCCTTAGAGCTATAGCCTAGAGATTTGCGGGAAGCTTCATTTGGTTTTTTGGTTCTGCAAGCTTTGAACGGGGCTCTACAGGGGAAGGTGTCTTTAGGTGTGATTCTGGTGGTGTGCTGCGCCCAAAACCTTATTTTTTCATTATTAAGGCCCCTATATTTCCGCACCCTGGATCTAAACCCTAAACCCTAAACCCTAAACCCTAAACCCAAAGCCCTTCGTCCCGATTCCCTGCACCCTCCAAAGACTGGTATCCCAGGGTTTAGGGTTTAGGGCTTAAGACCTGCAGCCTCCCTCAGCAAACAACCAAACCAACAAGCAAATGGGAGTTTCTGAAAACAAGGGGTACCTTATTTTGGGGTCCTTATAATAAGGATCCTATTATTTAGGGTACTATATTAGGGTCTCCTATTTTCGGAAACCCCCAAAGAAGTTAGATAGATACACATGTCATGTGCATACGTATATGTATGTAGAAGATAAGTATATGTATATGTGTGTATATACATATTCCTGTATATGTGTATGTTAGATATATATATATATGTATATATATATATATGTGTGTGTGGACATGTAATGTATGTATATGTGATCGTGCAGGATACTTTACAGCACCTTGCCTAGCCCTCAACCCCACACCTGACGTCCTGCCCTTGCCGTTTTTTTGCGAGAGGTGGTGCAGCGATTGGGAAGCCACATTCTGAGTTGGCCTGGGGTGGTTTTGGAGTTTTGAATGTAGTCTAGCTCTCTAAACCTCACACCCTAAGCCCTGAGTCGTCTCCGCTTATTGTTTGTACGGTGGCGCGGCCCAGAGAGGAAAGTGTGCTGAACCGAATACAAGGGTTCATGATGTTACTAAGATTTGGGGGTTCATGATAGTAAAGTTGTAAAGAGGAGCCCTGGGGAATGATATTGGTAGGTGTGTAGGCTTCTGTAAGACTTGGAATGGTTTTCGGTATCTACATCACTGCCATTCGGCGACTTGGACCTCAGAGAAGAGAATCGCATGACTACTCTAAACGCTAAGCCCAAACCCTAAACCCTAAACCCTAAACAACAGGTTCTGAAGACTCATAACTCGTCATAGGTTGAGAGGGACTTGAACTTGTTTC